GCGATTGGTGTTTGAAAATGAACAGAAATATTTTACGCCAAAGCAATGTATGACCACGTACCGTTTCTCAGAAATCAAAGGAAACCAGTTCAATTTTGCCGGTTTTGAGTTATTGCCACTCTCAGAAAATAATTTTCGCAATTTTCATTATCATGTGAAGACAACCAGCGCGGCTCTCCTCATGGTCTTCGTGGTCATTCCCCCGCCCCTTCCAAAGAGGTACAGCAACCACCGCATACTTTTTCAAGTTTTAATGTGACCTTTCATTCACCAATTACAGGGGCTCAAGGTAGAGGATTATCACTGGGTAAAGTTTTTAATCCTTGTTGGTTCTTCTGAATGATTTCTTTTCAATCTAGCTTTCACTGCTGAGGAGCGGGTACTTCTTCTACTACAATCCGAGACACTGAGTTCCAGCCAGAATACGCGTCTGCATTACCGTGCCTTGCGCAGTTTCCCACGTTGATCCCCACACGCACTCCTCCCTTAGGAATGTTCTGACAGTACCCTTCAATATGGCGGACTCGTAGTGGCTCTGCGCCACTTGCTCTATTTATGTAAATAATTCCATCAATTGGCATTGGTCCACTGCACTCAGCGCCATTGAAGGTAAAGAACCAACGCTTGCAACAGTTGTTGCAGTTGTAGATGCGAAGAGGGCTTGAGTAGAAGACGCGTAGGGAAGTATCTTTGTGTTTCTTTTGAAAATTGCAGTCCTGTGTGAAAGGTAGAAAAACAAATAAAACCAGATTAACGCATCAGTGGAAAATCTAGGTATTCCTTTCCCCCGAACGGCTGGGCGCACGGTATTGAGTAATGTAAAGAGACCTGAAACAAAGTGGTGAGAGATTCAATACTTAGAGGAAACCATACAAGAAGTGATGTTAAATGACTCAAACAGAATTGCGAACGCATGACAATAGCATAACAAATGCAACTAGTGTTTTTTTTAAGTTTAGCAAAACTTCCTAACTAAAAGTGCTTTCTATTTTACCGTTTTTCTATTTTGCTTTTAGGTATTGCTTACACGCGATACGTATGTACCATCATGTAAATATTTCTGCTCAACATGTATGTCATTGGACAATACAAGGTGGGTTAACTCTCAACTAAGATTGTGGTGACCCCTTCCTCAAAAATGCTCCAGATGGTCAGCTTGCTTTTTTAAAGAAAACTAGTTACTGTGTGATATGCAGTGCTGCAATGATGATGAAAAATAGTTCGGTATGTCCGCTACTGGACGTCTAAAGTTCTGGAAAGACATCACACTAGTGTTACCTTAATTAATCCAAAATCCCGGTCATCACTATGTTTCCAAACACATTGCTTCCAATTTGAAAAGGCCTGGGCACCAGCTTCTCCCTTGGAGCCCGGCTCTCCCTTGGGACCAGTCTCCCCTCGTTCTCCCTTTGCGCCGTCACGACCGTAAGGGCCTGGTATGCCGGGAGAAGGGCCCTGAACAACTGTGCAGGACTGAAAACGTGCAATGAAATGAAAGAAATAAAATATTTAGAAACCGGAAGAGTAATAATTTTTCACAAATTCAAATGAGTTTTTCAGCTGACCTTCTGAGTTGAGTTAGCCGTAACAAATAAACTGCTATTGGCGAATAACGTGAATAACGCGAAAACAGTCAATAGAAGAGTCTTCATTGTCCACAGATCGATCCTGTCGAGAATAAAAAAAAAACAGTCTAATCACTGAATCGATGTCAGGGACAAACTGAGAAAAATGTCAACTATGTCACGTTCGTCACTTGCTTTCTGTTGATCCTTTCGGAAAACATTCTACTGTTCTTTTTCACTGTCTTAACAGATATAACATAGATATAACATGTTAATTTGTACACAGCTATTTCGTTGTGGGATGAAAGCTTTAAGCCCGCCTACGCGACAAGACTGAATGATGGCAGGGTATTCACTGAAATTTTACATACAGTCTGCCGAGAGGCAATCTACAAGTTTGTATTTTAGCACGTCGAGAATTTTTTGTCTTCTTCGAGAGACCTTTCCGAGCGGTGATTTTAATTCTCATTAACTTTCAGTGCCGGAACCGGTAGCTTTCTCCTCTACCCATCAGTGCTACCTTTCGGCTTTGGAGAAGCTTGAGCCTTTGATCCAAGAACGTTGATTATGATAGCGGTGTTTAATTTTCTTGTGTGATGTAGTTATTGTTTCTACATTGACCGATTCTAGTCCTACTCTGTGTGCTCAGGAAGTTTTCGGAGTTTAGCTAGGTAAGCTTCACGTAGTATCATCTGTAATAACCCTCAGCTTAGATGTGATTTTGTTTCGTCTTATCAGTGGAATCGAGAACCATTTTTCAGCCAAGAATTCGGAACAGTTTGAGTTTTTAATGCCGTTGTCAGTCTCAATTATTCGATCTGGTCGTGCGTTTTTGCTCACGGTTTTCTCTTTTTATCATGGTCAAAACAGCCCTGTTGAAGTGCGTTAGACTCGATTGAAATCTCACAGTCACTCACCTGAGAAGGAAAGTAATGTCTGAATTGTCTGAGAGGTAAGAATATTATACTGAACGGTAGAGCAAATATAATATCAAGTGTTAGCATTTAACATCAAAGTAAGGACAAAATAAAATAAACTGGATGCTCCCTTCTTCAGTACTTACTCAGCGTCCCTGTTTAAAATTGAAGTAAAAATAATTTTTTTTTCCAATCTAGTGAACTTTTGGTTTGTTTGTGTAATGATAACCTCGTAAAAACAAGTTTGTGAACTGACAAAAGATTTGAAATTCTAATTTATTTTATTTTTAATTTTAACACGCACTATTATTCGCTGAAGCAATTTGGTTAGCTGTGGACTTGTCCAATGGGATGAGGCCTTATATTTTGACTTGGTTGCCGCGTAAATATAGAGTTTCAATCCCTGCAATTTCCCTAAGCAGCACTGTAGTTCAAGCGTGTGAATGCACCAATTTTTCAGCTGATTTTCCCCTGATATTTCACACTGTGAGAAGACTGACTTCTTTTTAGAGGGTCGTGCAGGGGGGAGGTCTCTGGCACGGTTCACGAACCGAAAAAATTGCGAATGAATTTCATTTTTTCGAATCACGAAAATTAGCTAGTAATGTACTCTTTTTAATAACCTGCTCTTGCATTAGAAAGAGTGTTTGAAGAAAGCAAAATCGTAAAAGGCCAAGGCTCCATATTGCAAATCGCATACCTAAATCACCCTCGACAGACGACTCTAACCATTCGGAGGACTCGCGTCTCAAAATCACGTAGAATAGAGTAGTGAAATCACGAATATCGGTTAATAATTCAAGTTCTTCACGGGTCACGCGAAACCTTCAGGTCACGGATCACGAAGAATAATTTCTTTAATTCACGTTTCACTGAAAATAAAATCAGCTAATCACGCATGAAGAGAATACCCCTGTAAGACCCTCTTTTTATACAGACTATGTTCAGTCAAGAGCCGGATTATGATATTCTCTTGGTTCAGTATTCGTAAATATACGAGGTAGTTTTTTTCATAAATTGAGCCCCGTGGGGAAACAGCGTGGCGGATTAATAAATTCGGCTGTCTTGCAAAGATTTTCCGTTACCCGGCCGGGTGACTGCCGTTTGTTTGAAAGTGGCTCGAGCTTAACAGTCTTTGTAGTCTACTAAATCTTTTAATTCGGTGGCCGTTCAAAATGTATTTGTAAACAAGCAGTTAGTCGTGATCCTTATGTTAATAATCAGTCAATAATCGCTGTGGTCTTACAACAGACATGAACAGAACAGTAGATAATGGACATAATGTCTTTGTCAACAGGTTTCTGACGGGTTGTAGGGCTACATCCAAAACCACTGCACATTAGCTGTACCTGTTAATCTGCTGAACAATCTAAAACCTACACAATTGAAAATAGAGAAGAAAAGAAGTAACTTCGATTCATCTGAATTTGTTATGGACTTCAGGTTTAGTCACAATATTGACTTTGGCGCTAGATTAATTAAAATTCACTTTTCAACATGAAAATGTTCAAACTGGGTTATGGACAGATACGCATTTTCCAACTTTTTAGGGACGAAATTTGCCTGTGATGTTGCTTGTACCATAAATTTCTTCTTGACAAAAGATCTCGCAGATCACGAACTTTCGGTACTTTTCGATAGTTGCCTCGAGATATTTACTCAAGCAATTTGGCATTAAACTTAACTTAAGGCGGACACACCAAACGAGGCGACCTTGGCGTTGTTTGCTTGTGGTTGACTGAGTTATCCATTCAAAATAGCACGCTTTGAGGTCCGTGGAGTGCGCAAGCGAACTTAATTCGAGCTATCATATTTTTTTCGTAACGGCTTTTTACTTAATTTTGAAGTGACCCTTCGTGCATGCAGTCTGGGGCTGACATTCGCAGCGCAGTCAGCGCTAGTTGATCATGAATGAATTTACTCATGGAATCGTTTCTGTTGTCAAGTATAGCCAATTAAAGTCGACTTTGAGAATTTCAGTGAGATAGGACATAAGCATAGTAAAGCTAAGGCGCCCTTGACAGTTGCTATTTATGATTTCACCCTACACACAACCTATCCACGAAAAATGAAATGAATGAAGGAGGAAATGTTCTCCAGTCCGGTCTACCAGTAAAGGGTTAGACGCTACTGCAGGATTGATGTCCGGAGCTCCGACTGACTCTTTTGCCACACCTGTACCAATAGCTAGCAAAGGGTGTGGGGATGATTCATAGAAAATACATGTTATGTATGATGCTGAATACCACTTCAGTTTTCTGTAGCGTTTTTTCGATTCATTCAACCTTAGGTTATTTACTTATGAGTCAGCGACACGCTGGTCTCTACATTAAAGATATGTCTAAAACAAGGATACCATGGTATTATTCTGAGAAAAAATGTATATCTTTAAAACCAAATGATGGTTCTTTCAGATCCCTGTCCACTACATCATAGTTAATACTGAGTCCTCGCTAGTAAATAATATCACTACTCGAAACGTTTGTGTGCTGATTTAGATTTCGAGACTCGAGAAGCACCATTTTCTATGAATTATCCCCACAACCACACCCGTATCAATAGCTAGCAAAGGGTGTGGGGATGATTCATAGAAAATGGTGCTTCGCGAGTCTCGAAATCTAAATCAGCACACACAAACGTTTCGAGTAGTGATATTATTTAAAATGTTTCAACAGAAGTGAGTTGTAAATTTGAGACGAAACATGAGATGATAATATCCCTTGACAGTAATACAGTTTTTTTTTCTATCCCGAAAGAAGAAATCTCATACCACATCTTGTCATAGGTTTTAAAATTTTTTATCTGTTTGGGGCTACCTTATGGAGTAAGCTAATAAGATTTGTTTTTTTTTTTGTCAAATTGTTCGCTGCAGCAAAACTGAAAGGTCTGTAAACAGCCTAACATGTCGTAGGACTGTAATGTTTCTTATTTTACGGCTGAGGAGCGGGTACTTCTTCCACCACAATCCGGGACACTGAATTCCAGCCAGAATGCGCGTCTGCATTATCGTGACGTGCGCAGTTTCCCACGTTGATCCCCACACGCACTCCTCCCTTAGGAATATATATGGCGGACACGGAGGGGCTCCAGGTCATTCCCTTCACGGATGTAAACAAGTCCGTCAATTGGCATTGGACCACTGCACTCCGCGCCATTGAAGGTGAAGAACCAACGCTTGCAACACTTGTTGCAGTTGTAGATGCGAAGAGCTCCAGTGTAGAACACACGTAAGGAAGTATCTTTGTGTTTCTTTTGAAACATGCAGTCCTGCACAGTTGAAGGAAAAGCAAGTAAACAAAATTACGTCTCAGAGTTAAGGCGTACTTAGAGCGGTTTTCATTTGAGTGTCGAAAATTAATCGCCTTTGCATCAACTATACTACACGATTGGCTTAAAAACACTCGCGGCATTTTTTTTATCCAATCAGGAGTAAAACCAAAAC